CAATTGCATCAGCAAGATTTTTTTATGTAATTACCTTTTGTGTGAATCAAAGGTAATTATGTAAAAAGAAGGTATTGTCTTTATCATATCATGATATCATATTATGATAAAGACAATAAGTACCTAATAAATTTTTAAAATTTGTCCCTCTAGTCCACTTGAAAAATTTTTATAAGCTGCCAAACTCCAATTAAAAACTGGTTTCTGCTATAGTTACCGTTAAAGTAAGTTGGTGCAACTCAGCTTTAAATATATCTTTTAAGTCTTATAAAAAAGTTTGGGAGGTTTCAGTGACTAAAGACCTTGCGTGCCCTAAAACCTTTTTGGAAACTGTAAAAGTGTCTTTTGTCTAGCGTAGAGTACCGGTAGAATTAGCACGCACAAAATGACTTGGATATTGTAAAGTACATATTTTATAAATGATTTTAGTTAATTAGTCGATTTTCGTAATCGACTGTCGACCGATAGAGCTCTCCTTGTCAACCTAAAAACGTTCCATGTCAGACAGTCCTCGGAGACCTAACAATTTGAGACAAGACGCATTGAAGAGGCCTGATGTTTACCCATTTTCCTATAGTTTAAAAATATAAAGCCTATAAATATACAACTGAACAGGAAATTGACGCTCCATGGACAGGGACCACGGTGATTCACATCACGGTCCGAATGATATGTAGGAAAACATCGTAACTCCATCATGTGTGACTTTACTGCAATACCGCATTTCGGTAGATAGTAACTTTGCCAGCCCCTTTCGGAATATAGTATTCTATTACCTACCGACAACATAGGCCTAGGAAGTCTGTCAGAAGCAGTAGCGATTTTCAACAGAAATAAGTTTTATTTATAGATATTCTCAAACAGATCGAATCAGAAATGAGGAGATCCGTAAACGAACTAAAGTCCCTGACATAGCCCGACAGATTAGCAAGCTGAAGTGGCAATGGGCTGCAGAACTACGCAGAACTGACGGCCGATGGGGCAGCAAGGTTCTGGAGTGGAGGCCGCGTACCGGTAAACGCAGCGTGGGACGTCCACCCACCAAGGTGGACCGACGACATCATAAAGGTAGCAGGAAAGCGCTGGACGCAGGCCGCTACCAACCGGGCAACATGGAAAGCATTGGGGGAGGCCTTTGTTCAGTAGTGGACGTCCTATGGCTGAGATGATGATGTTGATTCTCAAACAGTGGAGAAGCTCGTTACACGCACCTTTATCACGCATCCTTTATCTTGAGGGCCGTGACGTCAAGGCGTGCTTAAACGTGTAGCACTTTGTGACGTTACGCGGAACTGCAACGCATCATAACTTCGTTATTACTTGTTTGATTGACAAATAAAAATATACGCGTCCAGTATTTTTTGATAATGTAATTGACGGACTAAAAGTTTTTTTTTTTTTCGGAAAAGGAAAGGAAAAGTTTTTTTAGCTCAAAAACTAAGCAAAGTTTGGATATTTTGCGGTGATCGAACCGACCGTAGTCAAGTCTATAATAATTTAAAGGCAAAATTAAACAACTATAAGCTTATAACTTGTACCATACTCCATGGGAAACCATTATGGGAGGTGTTAGTTCAAGATTTGTAGTGTGTTGGAGAACCGACATAGTCTGGAATTCTGGATGCACGTAGCTATCCCATGTTGGAAATGTTGCGTTTGGAAACGGTTTGGTTAAGGTTAAATTATTACATTTGCTTCATACTATGTGTTAGTTTAAACTAATTAATGCCAGTAAGCATACAACCATAAAATATGAGTATTATTAAAAATATTGATCAAGGTTGAATATGTGTAGTAAGAGAATAGATATAATAGTATAAAGTAGAGTCAAAAACAGCACCTAAAATATGAATAACGACGCCTGACAGTTTTGAATAAGCAACAATTGTGGTGTATGCTACTTTAAAACAGTGAAACAATGCTAGGAAACTTTAATTTTAATATTGCTGTACATACTACACTGCGCTTGTCCATTGCTGGATTTAGGGACCCAGGACCAAGGCACTTGGCTGGCATTTAGGGCCCCCTTCTCCATCTCGAAACAATTCTATTTTGTAAATAGGAAATAGAATACACTAATAAATATCACATACATTTTAATCGACTTTATTACAATAAACAAAATAATTTGTTAAGGTTTCGCCACTGAGGGTTCCTAAACTGGCTGGGTCCCTACACACCCTATGTGCCTAGCACATAGGTGTAGGCGGAAATCGTACTACTATCGGCCGTCAGTTCTGCGTGTCATTGCCACTTCTGGTAGCTAATTAAATTAATGAAATCTAAATATATAAAAGGAGAAACTGACTGACTGACTGACATATCAACGCACAGCCTAAACGGCTAAACGTAGGTACTTGAAATTTGAAAGGGACGTAGCTTAGGTACCGTAGAGGTGCACTAAGAAAGGAATTCCCGAAATTCCCACGGGAACGGGAATTACGGGAAAATCCTTTTGTATGAAAAATCTAAACCGCTTAAGTTAGACGCTTGAAATTTGGCATGCAGGTACCTTAGTAAACTTAAAGCTTAGTTACAACAGGATATTGCAAAATTCCTACGGGCACGGGAGTTAGCGGGAAAAAACATTTGTATGAAAAAATCTAAACCGCGTAAGATACATGAAGGGGGTAAAACGGGATCCACGCGTTCGAAGTCGCGGGCGGCCGCTAGTGTATAATAATAGTAAGAAGGTGAGTGCAATACTTAGCGTATAGTAAAGTATATCCGTCACTGGCATACTTTGAAATTATGTCAACAACAATATTATGCTTAATCGCAACGTTTGAGATAAGCCTGTGAAAACAAGGAAAATGTGTCAATCCCACAAGATTAATACGCTGTAATTACAGCTGAAAAGCAAATCTATCAACGTAACGTTTGCGTTGCGAAATCACACTTGCATAAATTACCATATTTCGCTTAAAAAAATGTACTCGTTTTTACAATGTTTTTGAAGAATATATTAGGAAATGTTAACCCCTCGAACTAAGCTAAAATTATTATGCTTGTGTTTTTAATGCCTTGTTAAACCTCCCCATAATAAAATAATTACAACAAATGATCATGAATCCTCTATAAATTATGTTCAAGAGATTCAATCGTTGTTAAGTTGGGTTATTATTAGGTACATTATGGCACCATCTTAATTTAACTTTGACAAACGTCAAAAATCTGTCAAAGTCCATACAAAAAACACCGGTTATTGCTAAAGTTGCAGTTAAAATAATCTGGTGCAACTCAGCCTAAGTAGATGAAAACATTTAGGTAGGTAGGTGTTGAACAACTGGGAAAAAACAAATGCTCCAGGCGGGCTGTCAATCATAAGAAAAAACAAAAACACATCAAACAAAATATAGTATAGCTGCAATTTTTAACGATTGAGTATTGAAGAGCGATTTTACAACTACATTGTTTTAATTTGGCTATAAATTGCGATTCAAAATGTACAACCAGTATAGACTTTTTATTAAACTTTCTCAGTACTCAGTCGACTAGAAAATTTAATAGGGTGCATGACTATAAGTTTCAGAACTACTAGACTAGACCTTTCTTTCTGAAAACAAAAGTGTATTATTCAGCATCGGACTCTATGCTGAGTCGCCATGATTTTTACACCAATTTTACGGCTTTGACTGTATACTTACTTTTTTTCCTTATTACTTGCCCTTTGGGATTTCGACTTATCGTTTTGTTCTTTCTAACTTTAGTCATTTATAAAGAAAAATATTTGCCTAGTACTATTTTTAATCTTGTTATTTTTAATTAATATTTTTTACTATTTACTTATTTTATACATCTGACAACTCAAATATTGTTGTAATCTACGACAGTTCAGATTATTATTCTTTAATTTTAACAGTTAGTTCCCAGTTTTTGTCAAATTCAAATAATTTGTTTCGGGAATCTGTTTCTACATCGTCAGTAAAACCATAAACTTATTTAAGGTTAGTAGGTATAGTAGAGAAATAAATAATTATAATGAGTTCATTCACCCGGTGCTATCTAGATTAGGGGCCCTTGGAAAGAGGTAATTTCCACATCGATCCCTTATTTTTAAGTGACCCCTATAAAAACAAAATTTTGTGCTACCATAGGGGTCATTTAAAAATTAGGGATTGATGGTGAAAACGGGCAAAAGTCCCTGGGGATCAGGGTTCAAATCCAGAACTGTACTTACCTGTTAGAAAAGATATCTGTTAAAAAAGTTAAATATCTCATTATTATCTTATTTAAAAGATTACTTATTTATTTATTTTATTTGGAAAACCAACCTTTCTTATTCTATTACCACAGGCTGCATTTCTATAGTTCTTATCATTAATGAAACACGATGTCTATACCTACAGAGTTACTATGACTTCATTAAGCCTAATTAAAATTGTGTGACTACAGATCAAGCTAGCTATCTCCATCTACAGCGTATTGCAAGGGTGTTCCCCTTATGCAAGCATCTCTAATAAGCACTCGACTGGAAAGGATTGTCCTAGAAAAAATATCATAACACTCCAAGCAGATAAATACAATTGCAGGACATTACTGCACTGTTGGGTTAACAGCATTGGGACATAAGTCAGTGGGTTCGCTGTAAGAAGTTTTGACAGTCATGTCGCCATTTATACATACTTAGGCTAGGTTGCACTATCTTACTTTAACAAACGTCAAAAATCTGCCAAACTCCATACAAAAAACACGGGTTATCGTTATAGTAACGCTTAGTTACTTTAAGTGGTGCAACTCAGCCTTAAATGTATAAAAAAAAATCTGTCTGTTTACTTTTCATGCTTTAACTGCTAAATTAATTTAAATTCATTTAAAATATTAAATTTGAGAACATGAGAACATTATAAAGGTTATTATTTTACATCCCTGAAATTAATTATTTTTATGAACTTGACGTCGAGCGTCAGCGGGGGTTCGAAATTGCAAGCATTGAGACTACTGCATTAACCTTCACTGTGCTGTTAGCATAGCAAATAGAAATAGTATAAAAAGAAGGAAAGCGAGCGAACGTTATCATTACAGGTGATAAGTCTGTACAATTAACTTTTCCTTCTTATAGTGTCTACAGTTAGTCTAAAACTAATATCGAAATGAATTTCGCCAAGTTTTTCTTGTTTTTCTTCGCTTGTCTCGTCGCTTTGTCGACGGTGAACGCAGCGCCTCGCTGGAAAGGATGGAAGAAAATTGTAAGTCTGACTGAAAATACTCTTATAGTATGTACAATATCACTATAGGCCTTATACAGAAGCTCAAAGTTGCACAGCGTGCTATGGAGAGGGGTATGCTCGGTGTATCTTTACGAGATCGAATCAGAAATGAGGAGATACGTAAACGAACTAAAGTCGCTGACATAGCCCGACGGATTAGCAAGCTGAAGTGGCAATGAGCAGGGCACATAGTACGCAGAACTGACGACCGATGGGGCAGCAAGGTTCTGGAGTGGAGGCCGCGTACCGGAAAACGCAGCGTGGGACGTCCACCCACAAGATGGACCGACGACATCTTAAACGTAGCAGGAAAGCGCTGGTCGCAGGACGCTACCAACCGGGCAACATGGAAATCATTGGGGGAGGCCTATGTTCAGCAGTGGACGTCTTATGGCTGAGATGATGATAATGATGATGATGAGTATGTACAATTAGGTACTTGTAATGTATTACGGGAATCGTAGCGTAGGACGTCCGCTCATAAGGTTGACCGACGAACTGATAAAGGTAGTGCACTGGATGCAGGCCGCTACCAACTGGTCAATTTGGTAATCATTGGAGGAGGACTATGTTCAGCATTGCAGTGGAAGTTCTGTGGCTGAATTGATGATCTATTATAATTTTACTAAATTAAAAATGAGAGGGGTTTTCTCTGCATTGCATGAGTAATACCTACTTTTTTATGTCTTGGAGCTATTATGTCAAAAAAAACTCTGTAGAATTTAAAGAACACCAAACAAACTTTCAAAGGTTGGTAATAAAACACACGCTTGACCAGACGCAATTATTATTCTGATCATGGCCTGTAAAAATCATTCCCCAAGTTAATATTAACAACAATACAACAAGGCACTGCTTCATAAAGTATCTTAGAAAATAATTTGTTTTTTTTTTTGCTATCCAATAGCTGCGAGTACCTAAATACTTACTTACCTAATGTTAATTAGAAAGAAAGAAAGAAAGATACATTAATTACAATGGACATCACACAAATACAGGCAATTACATAGACATGACAGTGGCACATAATAATAAAAGAAGAAAAAATAAAAACAAGAGTAAACTGAGCAGTGCCACCCATTCACCAACAAGATGCCCACTGCAACGGGACCCCACTCAGCATAATATGCCGTGGACCACGGTGTCGAAGGCCACGGCGCTGGTTTTCAGTGTGCCCCATGCCGAGTGAGGGCAATTAAATTTGTTTTTGTTGGAATGTTTTCATGATATAAAATGTAAATTTTTACTAGCATGTTTTCTTTATGGGAATAGTTTTGCAACAATAACTAAGGCTAAGTAGCACCACCTAACTTTAACGATAACCGGTGTTTTCTGTATGGGGTTTGACAAATTTTTGACGTTTATTAAAGTTAAAGTAAAATTCAACACAACTTAAACATAATAAATTAAAACTTTTATAATAACAATTTACTTTTTTTAACACTTAAATGTACTAATTTTTTTACTAGTTTCTGTTCATTTTACCGAAGTCGGCATTTGTCAGAAAGTAACAAATTCTCTTTTTAGCTTTTTGATTAAATATTTTTATTAGTTTATCGTACAATAATCTGTTTGAGGTGACTTTACCAGCTCTAGCTATGCGCAAACGCCTGATTCAATTCACGCCATCTGTGAGCTATAAGTGAAACTAACTTGTAATAATCTGGCGCATCCAATAAAGCCTTTTTACATAGTATTTAGTTTAACAATCTGAATCTAGATGGGAAAAGTCGTTTAACCATTCAATAAACATGATAACGTTTGATTCATATTTGCTTTATTAATATAGATTACAGTTTCTCTAGAGGTTATCACATTAAAATGTTTTTAAACATTTTTTGGATAAGCCTTACCCAATAAAAGTAACTTCTGTTAATCCACACTCTTGTCATCTTTTTAATGAATTTGCAGTCTGCCCATTGGCTCTATTTGATAATTGTTGATCATCATCATCATTTCAGTGATATCCAGATTGACTGGTTGGTAGCGGCCTGCATCCAGCTCCTTCCTGCTACCATTTAATTAAATTATTGATATCTTATATTAAAAGAAAGACGTCAAGAAAGAAGACCTACTCAATACTTCTCATGAGAAAGTAGATCCTTAATTTTGAACTCCTCCTGTCTTCTGATAATTTCGTTGCGGGTTCAATGACAGTTTAACTTCCCTCTCAATTGGAAATAGCCTTTCTTCTCGTGGGATTTTTATAACTAAGGCTGGATTACACCATTATACCTACTTTATCTTTGACAAACGTCAAAAATCTGTCAAACTCCATACAAAAAATCCGGTTATCGTTATATTTACGGTCAAGTTGGTGGCGCAACTCAGCCTAAGTATTATGTCGTGACAGAGAATACAAATCTGGAGTCTTGCTGACATTTGACGTCTCAAAATCACCCTCCCGTGCCGCTCCTATACCTCAAGCACTGTCTTATTTAAACGCTACAGTACAGCTATGAACGAGATCCTGCGAGAAAACAGTTCCTATAAAAAACGGGATATCTCCACATTCTCCATAGAAATGTTGAGAAACCGTGCCAATGCAAATTTCTAGGAGGACCGAAAAACAACCTTATTTGTACGTAAACTTTGTTCAGGCACTTTTTATGACGCTCCTCGCTGTGAGTCTCAATATTTGGAATACATTATACAAATATGTTCGTTAGAAATTGCCAAATTCTGGAGAAACTTTTTATCTTGTTGATTTTGGAATTGCCGTAAGTTTGGAAGATGTTTTAGACACACTTCGGATTCTTATACATCCTTAAATACGTCATAGATGTTAATGTAGCTCTGTCTCTCTCTGTTACCTTTTCACACATAAACAACTGAAACGAGCCTAGTTTGAAAAAATGAAACTCAAAAAAACATTGTTCCTTGTAAATAAAAATGCCATAATTGTGTGCTTGTACTTTCAATATTTATTATTATTAGAGGCGCAGTGTAAAATGTCCAAAACAAAGTAGTGTTCTTGTAGGTATTGAGAAAGAATCCATTGCTTCACGTAGGCCTCCCCAATGATTTTCAAACTGGCCGGTTGGTAGCGGCCTGCATCCAGCACCTTCCTTTATGCGGTCGTCTTAGTAGGTGGACGTCCTGAGTCACGAAGTCTCTCAACTCTCTCTTAATCAATACTTTGTTACAGGAAAGAGTGGGCCAGCACATTCGCGATGGCATCATCAAGGCCGGTCCAGCCGTTGCAGTAGTCGGCTCAGCCTCGGCGATTGCCGGATGATTTAAGTTACTTAATTTAAATTCCTCGTGCCATTGTTTGTTATGACCAGTGAGATTCCTGTAAATTATTTTAATGTTTGTAAATAATAAAGCATCAAAATAAACATGCAGCATTTAATTTCTCCTCAGCGTCAAGCAGTTCGTTACACCCAAAGTGAATCATCGTCTTTCTTACAAGAAGAAAGTTGTCACTTTGGGTATCACGAACAATTTGACGCGGACTTTACTACTAAATCGGATCTTGCAAACGACGGATTAGCAAGCTGAAGTGGTAATGGGCAGGGCACTTAGTAAGCAGTACTGACGGCCGATGGGGCAGCAAGGTTCTGGAGTGGAGACCGCGTCCCAGAAAACGCATCATGGGACGTCCACCCCAGTGAACCGACGACATCATAAAGGTAGCAGGAAAGCGCTAGTCGCAGGCCGCTACCAATGGATCAACATGGAAATCTATTGGGGGAGGCCTATGTTCAACAGTGGACGTCCTATGACTGAAATGATGATGAAAAAACAGTCCTGCAAAAACGGTGTCCTGTGTCTTCATAATATGAACAAACCCTAATAGTACAAGTCTTACACTTACTCCGTCTACAGCACGGTACCATCGGCGCCGGCGCGCTCTAGTGGGCACCGCATAAATCAACTATTTCAAGGTTGCTGCATTTGGCACCTTCATTACGCTAACACATGGTTTGTTATAGCAGGTCAGCCTCCATGCTCGGCTGCCTTTGAGTGTTAGTATATTTCCAGTAATATTCTAGCTAATGATATATTTTAGTGCGTGCCTGTTTGTAAATTGAGTGACTTTGTATATTACATACATAATCACAAAACTGACCTAATAGAAAGTAGGTACACACATTACGGTACAATTTTCATGGTTAGAAGCATTATCAGCCACTTTCACTACAAGCTGAGCTCTATAGCCTATACCTCTAATATGTAGATAAACTGTATTTTACTTCTCCGCTTAGATACTTACAATCCAATACTTTAATTAATCGTAAGCAACTAGACATTACAATACTCAAATTGCAACGCCATTTACTACACAATCATGACTCCCAAGGGTCACGTATCAGATGACCTATTTATCTCGAGTAATATGTATTAATATTATGAGAATATGCAAATAAATAGTATTTCCCCAAAGTTAAGTGGAGGAATATGTTATAAAATATTTTAATGGCTGCCGCTTTGCCCGCGTAACCTTCTGGTGTAGGTCCAAATTTTCACGTCTACCTCAGAGTCAAAAAAATCTCTTAAACTACTAGTATTTTTATTTGGGTGGGCTTTGTAAGTACTTAGCCTTCTGATTGGGCGATTGTGGTTCTCTTAATAATCCAACCAATCAAGATCACCTTCAAAAGAAAGCATCCTTTCCATTCCAATAACAAGCTATCCATAATCCATTCTGCTGCACGCTTCCAGCAATGATGCTAAATGTTGGATAATTAATTGAGCCCGTTAATCTTCAATGAGCATGACATGTGCTGCATGCTATGGAGTTTCATATGCCTTCATGCAGCCTCTGCATAGTGTAGGTATATCTCTGATACAGGCACAAAATAGGAATAGGTGCTTGTTTTAGGGACAAAGTCAGAAATAGAAAACACTTTATTAATACAGTTATCATTACTTTTCGGTTATCCGGTTTTCATCGGAAATCTTTTGATGCTTGATTTGTTATTTAATTACAAAAATTCGAAAACCTTTTGAACGAAAGCAGTATAATTATGTCCCTTAACCACAAGAGTAGGATACGTCATTAGGTCTTTCTCATATTAATAATGAGATAACCACTTAGAGATAAGTCCGTTATTATTAATTACCTAATTGATAGATTCAGTTTAATCTTCAGTTCTCTGGTCAAACTGCAACGATGCAGACCGTTGTAAGAATCTTTCTTTTTGCCTGTTTTTGTATAGCAGTAATAGGTAAGTTATTTCATTTTAAATTGCCCATAAATGATAAAGGTGGCCGTGTTCTCTTCTTTCTTTTAATATGCAATCAATGTATCTTCAACACTAACTCCTCAATGAAAATTTGATATGACTGCTCAATTGTAAGGTTGAGCGGCCATAACCGGTATTTTTGTATAGACCAGTGTTTTTCAACCTTTTTCATGACACGACCCCTCAAGTATGAAAAAATATTTTGCGACCCCCCGACCGTTCTTTTTTTCATGCATTTTATAATGTTACGAAGATGTTGTGGGGACCGAATACTTCAATCCATACCTACTACATTTTTTTTTGCATAGGGTAAACCAGAGAGTGATTGCCCACTGGTAGTGATTGCCCGCTTTAAGAATAATAATGTCAGGTGCTGACTTTGAATCACTCTAGTTAGATTTGAATTTACTAAGTAGATGGCTCCGAGATCAATGTACAGTAGATTTCAAAATTTACAATAGGAAACACTAAAAAAAAACAGTTATGGCAGATTTTGTCAAGACGGGTGAAAATGTTACTCAAACAGGTTAAGACTTTAACAATTTTATTAAGGAATTACTTGCTTAGAGGTAAATTTTTTTTTGTAAGTTATTTAATATTCAACTAATGGTGTATAGTCATGATGAAATTATAAGTGTTTTCTCCATTATCAATGAAAATATCTGATAAAATTTGATTTCTAACGGTCATTTTAACGGTGGGTAATCACTGTACGTAAATCTGCATATTTTTAGTTATTGCCCACCATCATTTCAGTTATTGCCATATGTTAATGTATAGTTATTGCCCAGGGCAATTATTATTAGAGTGTTGCCACCATGCAGTAGCAGTGTTTAAATTGCTCATTGCTAGACTTGTTTTGCAATTTACAGGCATAAGTATTGAAATGGCATTTAATGTTTCATTTCCAGTATGCCAAAGACACCAAAAGTTCAATATAGCAAAGAAAATTTCCAAAAAGCGATCGAAGCTGTACAAATGTATTCAACAATTTATTTACAAGATAAATTGAGGAAAAATATGGTTTGGCTTGAAAAAATTGATAAAAATTCAAACGCAAATACAAAAAATGAAAATCCTACGTTAAATCTACTAGTGAAAATGTTAATTGTAAGGAATTAGTTACAACTTTAGGGAAGAATAACCAACAGCTAATTGAACATTCTGAGCAAACACTTGAACTGTGATATCAAAGAAGATAAAAAAATAAATACATATAAAATTTTCATTTTTGTGTCATCTTTATTTTGAAGTAAATGATTCTGTCTCTACTGATTCTGACTCATCAACATCAGCTCAAGAAATACTTGATAATATAGTTAATAAAGCAAAAGGTAATTTATTTTGAAATTTTGAAGACTGTACTACTAGAATTTAAGTTTAATGTTTTGTTTTGTTTATTTAAAGCCTATTTTGTCCTTTTAAAATTGATTATTTTGTTTTAAGATAATGGGCAATTACTGTGCTTTGATGTGGGCAATTAGTGTAAGTAGTGGGCAATGACTGTACTTTTTGGAGGATTTTAAATTTATTTCAATATTTTCTAAGTTATGTAAGTTTTAACTAAAAACTGTTAATATTCTGTTTAACAGTTTATTGGGTTATAAGAAAAAAGTTATAAATGGTCGACAATTAAAATACTTTCTTTAATTTTGCATGTCAAAGTGTTTGAAATCTTTAAGTGGGCAATAGCTATACGGTTTACACCTATTTCGATTTCGGATAAAAATCTATTTTATAACTTTATTGTTTTTTTTACTGAGGTAGTTTTTACGACCTCTCGCGACCACCCTGCAAAGGCTTCGTCCCAGGGGGTCGCGACCCACAGGTTGAAAAACACTGGTATAGACGGACTTGATGGTGCAACCCAGCCTAAGTTATAAGTTACAAAACACGTATACCACAATGTTTATATTTTTAATGTTTTTTTTTTCTAAATCTATACTTCTATACTAATATTATAAATGCGAAAGTAACTCTGTCTGTCTGTCTGTCTTGCGAAAGCAAGACAGACAGACAGACAGAAAGTGAAAACGCCTAAACCACTGAACCGATTTTGATGAAATTGAGTCCCGGGAAAGGACATGGGTGAATATCAACAAACTCGTTTTTTGCCTAATTCCGGTGGCGATTTTTAATTTCCACTTTCCAAAACTTTTTTGTGGCAGAAATAATAGTAAATAACTTGTATTATTCAATGATATGGTAGAGATCAAAATATTATTAATACTTCTCGAGATATGTCAATTTGAAATTATCAAGAGCCACCGAAATTGTATTTGAGCCACCGAAATTAAGAACCAATCCACCGAAATTTATTTATACAGCGGACTTCGGAATGTTACGGATGATTGTCTCAAATTACTTATTTATTTGTAATCAATTAAGTATTATTATCCAGTAAAGATGTTTATAATTAAAAACAATATTCAGGCCTGTGTTGTGACCCTAAAAAAGCATCAAATCTTCCCACGTGAGTCGTAATAGCCGACTAAGGAATCAAAATACTGGAGGGTGGGCTGCAGCATCTTTCCGGGTATTATACTACCATACTGGAACTACCAACCAGCCTGCTAAGCATGGTGATAACGGCAAAATCCCTCCATAGAGAACAAATCCAAAACTTTCTGGCTCTAGCCGCCAACAGCCCCGTTATTCTAGAGTCATCACAAAGACATCATACATGACCCTCAAACCCAGAAACCAACTCTAGTCCCGGGAGGGCGACCAACTGCCCCAGGTTGGTGTTAGGTTTATCTTCCATAAGTAAAAATATTGGTCCAGGCTAGCCAAGTTTTCATGATGGTATCATACCTATCCTATACTCAGAATTACGCAACTAATTATTCGCTAAAGACCATGCGAACTGGAGATTAAGTATGAAGATATTTCTAGATCTATACCAGCTACTGAACTAACACATTACATATTTGTGACAGGGTAATTTAACGGAAAACTATGCAAACCTAGCGACAATGAGCTAGATGAAAGTAGTACAATTANGCTCCGCCGCGTAAAAAACGTGTTTGGGATATTCACCCACATAGGATAGTTTTTATCCCGGTTTTTGAAACAGGGACGCGCGCGATAAAGTCTTTCTGTGACAGACAAAATTCCACGCGGGCGAAGCCGCGG